AGTGGGTGGGTCTGCTGGGCTCCCGGAGCCATGGGCGGTGGGGGGGACCCCCCACCCCCGTACCAAGAACAGGGGTCTGGACCAGGCACTTGCCTTTGAACCAGCAGAAAGGGTGTCTAGGTTTTGTCTTAGGGAAGCTCCCGAATGCGTCAGGGGGAGGCCAAGGTGAGGGCGAGAATTTGGAAGCAGGGACGCCAGGGTGGCACTTCCGAGACTGCAAGGGGATGACAGTCGGACGGGTGTCTCAGATAAACGGGCAATGCTCTCAGCTGTCGGTTCGCTCAGCGCCAGAGTCTCACTTGTCCCTGCTGGCGAGTCGGGGCAGGGCCAGTGGGCGGGCCAGGCTCCTCGGGGGGCCCCTCGCCTGTCTGCAGCCCTGGGGGACCGAGGCACCCGTGTGAGGCTGGCAGAGGGCTCCTGAAGCCTGCTCCTGCCTGCTCCGCACTCAGGGCCCGACTCCATTTCCGTCTCCTTCCGAACCCGGACATCGCCTGCCCTGCACACCCCCCCCCCAGAACTGTCCTCACCTCCCCCACCCCGGCCTTCCCAGTGGGGACCAGGCCATCCAACAGATCTCTGCTAGCGACATAGTGCAGGTGACACGGGGCAGGACCCCCACACCTGTGCACTTACATGGGTCCAGGTGACTCGTGTGTAAGTCTGCGGAGAGACCGTCCAGTGGTGCCAGGCAGGGGGACAGGTGAGGGCCCCACAAAAGCGTGGGGTGCTTGTACTGAGCATGGGGGTGGGGGCAGGTCCAGCGGGAAACCCGGGCTCCGCTTGGTGAAAACACACAGAGCTGGGTTGCTTGGCTTTTCTTTAGCAACATGCATGTGCTTATTTTATTTAAAAACCCTATGAGATATTAAAATGTCACGTATAGGGGTTAAAAGTATAACCAGCATGAAAAGGACAGAAGGACGAAGGAGCCCCCCTCTCGAGACTGCAGCAGGCGGACCAACTCTGTTTCGGCGTCCGGACGGTTTTCTGGACTGTGTGTCTCAGACCACCCGGGCCCAGGAGTTCGCTGGGAGCTCGTCAAAGCCAAAGGTCTGGCCGGGGCCTGGGACCCTGCATGTCCAGCCAGTTCCCCGGGCACCCGCACAGCTGGCCCGCAGCTCACACCGGGGGTAGCCCTGCTCCAGACTCACCCTTACAAACTACATACAGCAAATAACGATAACACTAAAAAGAGAGAGGACTGCACTCCGGGGACCCCGGGCCTGACCCAGGCCTGACCCAGGCCGGCCACCAGGCAAGCGAGCCCCGGAATGGCACCCAGGAGAGGCCTCCTTTGCCACCGCTGCACAGGTGGAAGCCATGGACCTGGTTGGGGAGCACGGAGAGGAAGGTGGTCCCTCCGCGTGGGGCACCTGCCGGTCAGCGGCAGCCTCCAGGCCGATGTGCAACTCGGCCACTGTGCGCACCAGCCCTGACGGCACCTGTGAGAGGCTGTTCCAGGGTCCCCTGGCACCTGGACCCCCGCCCCGGTCAGCCGCTGAGGCGGAAGCTGGCACAGCCAGCTTGGATGCTATTATTGTCATTTTAGGAACGAAAAACCCAAGGCCCAGAAAGGCTAAGTAACCTCTGTAGGAACACAGAGCTTGACCCAGATGGGGCTCTGGACAGCCCCGAAGGTGGGGCTCTCATGCACTCGGCCACCCTGTGAGCGGTGCCCAGCAGCCGGGGGAGGTGGCAGCCCAGGCCACGGCCCTGGGGGCCTGGCTTGCTCTAGTGTCCCAGGCTGTGGCCGGCCCGCACCAGAGCCTGCTCACAGCCCCAGGAGGGCCGGGGCGGGGGGGGCCCAGAGGACGGGCAGCCACTCCAGCCACTCGAGGCCAGACTTCTGGCCCGTGGCTGCTGCTGGAGCGGAAAGCATCCTGACAGCCTCCGCCCTCTGGGGCTGCGTCCCCACTGCTTACTCGCCAGCTGGGCCCCCTGTGTCGGGCCGGGTCGGGCGTCCGCCTGGGCTCCCCCATGTCCGAGAAGCAGGGTGTGCGTCCGGTCAGCCCCAGGCCAGGCCCCATCTCCTGACTGGGCGTTCAGTAGCGCCAGCCCACTTCCCACCCCCGTCCGGGCCTCCAAGGTGTGCGTCCCTTCTGGCCGGGTGGCAGTGGCCTCTCCCCGACCTCTCTGCGCCCGCCTCAGCCTCTCCGAGCGGCCCTCCTGGCTGCAGCCTGGGTTCCTGTCGACCCTCTGAGGGGGTGCCCGGTGTGACCGCCCCGCACTCCTGAGTCCCGGGGGGGGCAGGAGTTACTGTCCCCCTTTCACAGACCAGGAGCCAAAGGCCCGGGGTCCCACAGCTGAAAAGCAGTATCACTGGCTTGGACCCCAAGCTCAGCCTGAGTTCGGGGCTCCTGAGTAGCCCGCCCTCACCCAGGACAAGCCAGCCAGTCCCCAGGAGCCCCTGCAGCGTCGGCGCCCCCAGGCAGCCGCCATCTGACGCCTGTGCAGGGAGGGACCTGATCCCAGCGGGAACAAAGGGCTTCGCACAAAGAGACAAGCCCACCCGCACCAGGAGCCTCCCTGCTGTGCAGCGGGAGAGGCGCTGGCGATGCCGTGCTTGACGAGTGCCCCGCGGAGCGAATCCAAAGGGACAGAGTCCCCATGGGGAAGCCCCGCACCAGGATGCCAGGCCGAGAAGCCCCTGCCGGGAGGCCTCAGAGGGGGCCACTGAGCTAGGCGGGTGCTCCACCCCACGCGGGCTCCTCCGTTGCTGCCCTGTGCTGGCGGGTTGGGGGCAGAGGCACCCCGTGTTTGCAGGAGGAGCCGTCGCCCCAGGGAGCCCGGCACCCACTCTCTCCCCACCATGAACTGCCTCTTCACTGACACAGATGCCAACCGGCCACGCTGGGGAGACGGTGCCAGGGCCGAGGCTGTGAGGACAGAACAAGGGCCGGCTGCCCCTCCGCCTGCCTCCCGCCCGGACAGTCGACTCAGCTGTATTTCCTGAGACGCGATCAATCTCTCCCGCGCTCCACCAGCTCCCCGGTCCCTCCCCTGTGAGGTCTCGCGGGGTCTCTGTGGAGCAGGCCGCCGGGGCGCAACCCCACAGGCCGCTCCGCGGGGGTGGATCCTGGGGCCTGAAACCTGCGGGGGGGCTGAGCCGTGTGGCTCTCCCAGAACCAGCACCAGTGACCGAGAGGCAGCTCCCCAAAGTGCAAGACTGGGCAATGGCCTGAGTGGGAAGTGGGAAGTGGGAAGTGGGAGGGGAAGGCTGGGGGCTTGGACTCTGGGCTGCCCTGGACTTCTCAGCCCTGTGCACGGCCCCCACACCGCAGCTCTGCCCGCGAGATTCAGGGCGTAGGTCCAGCGGGGGCCGCCGCTGGGACAGGGACCTGTCCACGGTTGCTGGGAGTGGTGAAGAGAACTGGGCTGGGTCTCGGCTGCTCCAGCCGTGCCCACGTCTTCCCCGTGTACCCTGCTCACGTCCCCGGATCGTGCTGGCTTTAGCCGCGTGTGTCTGGGGACTCGACGCCGTCCCCTCCTCGGTGACAGACCAAGCGGAGAGGCTGTGACACCCGGGGGCAGTGCTCTGAGCAGCAGGTCGGCGAGCTCCAGGGGGGCCAGCGGCTGCTCCCAGAGCCCCCACCCTACTCACCCCCACTGGCCTCAGGGCCCCAGAGCCCCAGGCCCTTCGGGAGGCTGTCTCTAAGCTTTCCCAGTGAACCCGGGCCAGTCGGCCCTGCTGGAAACTCCGTGGCTGCAGGGACGGGAGGTCATCAGCGCCCAGGGCACGGGGCCGCCCTCATTCAGGACTCAGGTGCTCAGTGAACCCCTGCCGAGTGGGCCCAGCCTCAGGAGGGAGCCGGGTTCTCACCAGTCCCAGTGCCCGAGTGCTTTAGGGAGCACGCAGCCGAGTGCAGGGGGGAGGGCCACTCCTGCTCGGGCCCAGAGGTGCCTGCACCCCTGCCTGGGTGAGAAGAGCCCCGGTCTCCCCAGGCTGCACCCTCAATGCCGAGGGAAGAGGGGAGCATGGGCAGACGGGCTCCTGTGCTCCCCTGGAAAGTCCGAACTTTCTGGGGGCTGGGGGCTCTCGTGGTGCCTGGGAACGCTCAGGGTAGGGGGGCAGGCTGGCAGGGCGGCCCCTCAGGTTTCCTGAGCTCCGACTTCCTGGGGAACACCGAGGGGCAAATGTGGGGGCCAAGGCCCCCGGAACACCCTGTCACCCTCCAGAACGGTCAGTGAACTTGCCCCGGGGGAGTCGAGTCCTGTAGCCAGGAGGCCCACGGCAGCAGGACCCTGCGCCCACAGGGTCCCGGGCCTCGGGGCTGCAGGACCTGGAGATGGCAGAGCTGGGTGCAGAGGGACACCTGTCCTGGACTCTTAGGTGTCGGGAGAGTCCTTTCATGCCTTGTGGGAAGAACCAAAGGACAGTCTGGTGCCCCCCTGATTTAAGCTGAGGTTTCAAACGGTCACATGGGGGTGGGAGGTGGCACGCGGGGCGCTGTGCGTAAGGCCAGCTCTGCCGCTTGTGCACTGTGTGACCTTGGACGAGTGGCCAAACTTGCCTGAGCCTCAGTTTCCTCGTCTGTCCAGTAGGGCCAACGCCCCCGCCCTCACGGACATTGGGTGGACTGAACAGGCAATTACGCAGATCCAGTCCCCCCCCACCCACGGTGTCTGGCAGAAGGCAAGTCTCTGAGAATGAAAGGTTTCCTGTCCTGGCAGCAGAGAGGAGGGGGGTCCGGCTCCTTGGGGACACTTTCCCTTCCCAGTTTCCCTCACACCCAGGCCACAAGAAAGATAAGGGGTCCCTTGGCACAGTGGGTGTCCGATCCTTTTCCTCAGACCCTCGCTGCCCATCTTGGTCGCTGTCCACAGCTTCCTGGACAGAGACGCACTTGGAGAAGGGCCAGAGGTGGGACATACGACGCTGTTGTCCACGGCGGTGTTGGAGCAGGTTGCCCTGGGCTCTCCAGAGGAGGTAGACACTGATTTGGGGCAACCCGCGCCTGCAGATTCTGCCCCCATGCCCCGCGCACCCGCCAGGCCCTTACCTTGAACCATGGGCACGGTGCTGCCCCGGCCGGCCAGCCGAGGACTTGGGTGCACGTGACGGGGCGGCCCGGCGTCTGTCCCGGGCAGCGGGTAGCGGGCAGCGCGCAGCTAGTAGCGGCCGCTCACGCCCAGGCCACTGTGGCGGCGCCTGCTGGGGCCGGGCTGGCGCGGCGGGCTCGAGCGAGGGCCCGGAGGCCCGCGGGTGACGACTGCGTGCCCAGGCGGGAGCCTCCTGCCAGCCCCGGCGGTGGACCCGGCTCCAGACTCCCCGGCTGGCTCCCTGCGAGCCGCACGCGCGCGGTTCTAGCTCAGTCCCGGCGCGGGGCGCGCGCTGGCGGGGAGGCGCGCGCCCGAGCCGGCCCGGGAACGCGCGCCGCGGGCCTCGCGCGCGCCGCCGTCGGGGGCTGCGGGAGCGGCCCTGGAGCTGTCCTTGGTGCTGACGAGACACTCGCTCCGGGCGAGGCAGCACGACCGGCCTGGGGGTGCCGCTCCGCGCCCTTGCCCTGCGGGGCTCCGGTTGCTCTTTGCCTGCTCCCGGTGGCACAGCGCTGGGATTTGGTGTCGGGCTGTGGCTGTGGCTGTGGCTGCTTATCCACAGCGCGACCTTGGGTCAAGGCCCTCACCGGGCAAGTTTCGGGTTCTCATCTTCCAAACGGACCACAGCACAGCCTGGTCTGAGGCAAGCCAGCGACGCCCGGCGGCTGGCACCCGAGGGGGCTCACTGCAGGGAACTGGCTGCGCTCCCCGTTCACCCCATCTCTTGACAAGCCGCCACGGAGCTCGCAGAGGAGGGGCTGGCTTGGGATCAGTGGGGACACCCACGGGGAAGGCAGCAGACCTTTCCGCGGGACACAAAGTCCAGGGCTGGGGCCAGTTCCCAGAGGTTAAAGGGAAGCAGATTTGGGCACCAGGGGCATCCTTTCACCAGAAAGGGTGACCCTGGGCACAGAGAGGGACCCCTGTCCCACAGACACTGCGGAGGAGGCTGCAGCCACAGGGACGCTCGCTGGCCTGGGAAAGATCTGGAATGCGAAAGGCTTTGAGCTGGAACTCGTAAAGAATCTCACCCGCTCCGTTCCCCTTACGGACCCTGGAGTTCCCGGGAAACTAGACAGACCCTGGTCGAGGAAACTGTCATGTTGCCCATTCTGAAGCCGAGAACACTGAGGCCAGGCTGCTGGGTGCTCACCAGCCCCCCGCAGACACCCACATGCAGCCTGTGGCCGGGCTGCCCCTGCCCAGTCCCCAGGTCACTCTGGTCCTCAGACCCTGGAGAGTTTCCTCAGGACAAACCGGGCAGCACCTCTTCCCTCGTACGGGGCCCGCCGAGCGGGTCCCCGCTGTCTGGAGCCCCTCCGTCCCTTCTGAGCAAGACAATTAAACGTCCCCTGCCCTGTTTCCTCAGGGACTGGTGGCTGTGCTTGACTCGTTAATTAACCGTGTGCAGCACCCATTCCCACCAGGCGCGTCTCTCCTGATGAACGTCACTCACCATGGGCTTCGTGCGCCCGGGGCACGCGGCTCGGTATCAGGCCCTGTGGTCCCCCTTCGTCCTCTCGGTGACCGGAGGGGGCAGGTGCTGCTGGGCTCCAGCCTGCAGGGGACACGTCAGACCCAATGGGGCTGGACCGACTCCCAGCGCGGGCTCCTGACACCCTCCTCCCAGACCTTCCACCTTGTCCCCAGCCCAGGAGAAAAGACGGCACCTTAATAGAAATTCCACAGAAGGAGAGAGAGAGCAGGGGAAGGACAGCCGGGTGGGAGAGGTGAGCAGCCAGTCCGCAGCCCAGATGTGCTTGCAGGGGCCTTTAAATCAGCTCCGGTCAGTGTCCCCGCTGGGACCAAGGGACGCGGTCTTTTCTCTTTAAATTTGGGGACTGTTTAGATCCTGGCGGATGTGCTGCCGGAATTGTGCAGCTCTGAGCCCGCGTACCTGTCCCTGGGTCTGCACTCACGCCCCGCGGGGTCCCACAGCCCTGGGTCTAGCTCTGAAGCGCCCGCTCCAGGAAGCGCTGGTTCCTTCGCAGGGAAGTGGGGCCCCAGCGCCCGTGAGGCTGCGATCTGAGCACGTTCCTTTGAAACTGGGACCGAGCATCCCCGGCACGCGAAGGTGGCTGCCTCCCTTAGCCTCTAAGTGTAGCTACACTCTTGGCCACACAGCGAGCAAGGAGGGGCCGAGCAGAATGGATTTGGTTACGATAACGATGCCCCAGTGCCCAGTGGTCACCACCGAACTCCTTCTCTGTGTGACCAAAGTGTGGCCTGATTTTAACTCCAAGTAAAAAGAAGGGGTCCCCTGGTCTGACTCTACAGAAGCCCTTCACCCCCAGGTCCCCTGAGACAGCGAGTTCTCCTGCACTCGCAGAGAAGGGCGGGGGCTCACGAGATCTCTCGCGGCAGCCAGAACCAGGCCCCGGGGTGGGGGACGTGTGGCACCTCCCCGCGGCGAGCCTTCCACCACAGCCCGCTCCCTGACACCTCCCAGGCTCGGGCTACGGCGGCCGCCACGTCCCTCCACACACAGAGCGCCTGCAGGTGACTCACATCCGACAGATGGCGCGTTGGCTGAAAACCCCAACACGTGGGAACACAGGCGGCAGTTTACCAGGGTGAGGCGAATGGGCGGTGGTCAGAGCGGCCCAAAGCATCGAGGTGGGACCTTCACGTCCGTGCGGTTCTCCAGGACAAGTGCGGGCAGCCTGTGGGGTGGGGGGGGACCGCGTTTCTCTCCTGAGCCCTGCACACGCCCAACACACACGCAGACTCGAGAAGCATCCTGGTGGCTGGGGGACCGAGAGCTGCTCGTCACAGCCCCACCCCCCACAGGCAGTCACTCGGTCACTCGGGAGAGTGACCAGTGTTCCTGGGAGTGAAGGCTCTGCACCCACCGCTGCTTCTGACCCGAGTCTCGTCCGGCGGAGGCCGAGGGGACCCTGCCAGCGTGCGGAGGACAACGGCCAGAGTCTCCCCGTTCTGGGGGACTCTCCAAGGGGTGAGTTCACCATCTGCAGACACGTCACTTACCGCTGGGCCAAGCTGGCCCAGGGGCCCGTCCCGGTCTCGGGCACCCAGGGGATTTCAGAAGGGGCAGCCGGTGGGAGCGGGTGCCCGGTTCCCCGGCCCCTGCTTCAGCTGCTGGCCCCGTGGAAGATGTGCGTCTCCCAAGCCCTCCTGTCCCCAGACAGCACGGGACACGTGACTGGCAAGGTCTCCCGCAAGCACCTGCTATGGAAACAGCCGGGCCTTCGGGCAGTTAGTAAATTAACCGCTGTCCTTGGAACTGTTATTTTGCAGAGCGCAGTGAATGGGCCCTGTGCTGCCTCTGCCCGACCCCGAAGTGTCCATCCAGGTCAAGCCCACGCAGAGAAGAGATGAATTAAAAAAAAATAAACCCCGCTAGGCGGACACGGCCGTGACGTTGCGATTTTGCTGTGACACAGGCCCGGCACCGAGCACGCCCATTCCAGATTGAGGGGCTCCTGGACGTGACCGGGAGAATAACAAGGCATCCGAGTGCGCGAGAGAGCACGTGAGCTCGTGCGAGAGAGGATTAGAGGAGCGAGGGGCGGGCGTGCAGGGCGCCCTCGCACTGGCCCTGGTTGGAAAAGCCGGGCTCGTCAGCTGGGACAGAAATTCCTGCTGGTGTTTCATTACCGCAGCATTTTAAAGGGTTGTGATTTGAGATTGATGGGTCTGTTCTTTAGGGCTCTCTGGGGGGGGGGGTGATGAGGAGGAGGTGGTGCTGAGTGAGGGGCTGGGCGTCCAATAGGGGTCCATCCTGGCAGGGCGGGGGCGGGGGAAGCGGGGCCACAGCAGGCTCCTGGCGGCAACTCCATTTCGGGGTCCATTTCCCGGAAACAGCAGCATGAACAGGGGCCCTCAGGGCCTGTTCTCCCAGCCAAACCACTTCCTGCAGCCGGAGCGAACCAGGTGGGGGGTTCGTTCATTCACCCCTTTGTGCTGTGGGACCGGAGACAAAGGCCGAAGCCCCTGCGATGTGGGAGCTCAGAGGTGGGGATGTTTCCAAGGGCCCCCCACGTGGGGGGCGCCGGCCCCAGGACAGCTCCCCAGGCTGACATTTCTCATGTGCTGACGACCGGCACACTCTTGGGGCTGCCGGGAGGGACCAGACCCGCCCTTGCGTGGATGCCACTTCGAACTGCAGCAGCTGAGACCACAGAGGGTGGGCGGCTGGCCGGAGGCCGTGTCCGGCCTGGCTCTGGAGTTTACTCCGCTCGGCCGTGCTGCGGCGTGGCCCTCAGTCGGTCCTGCCGGGAGGGAAAGAAGGAAATAAAGATAGGGGGCGGCCAGCCGGGGAGTCGGGGTCTCATCCCTGACCCGCGATCCCTCCAAACGGGCTGCCGGCCCCGCGGGGAGCAGGCAGCTCAGCGGGTGAGGTGCCCGTCCTCCGGGGGTATCAGCTCAGACCGGTTGAGTCTCACGGGCACTGGAGGAACAGGGCACCCGGAGACACCGGTGGAGCGAGGCCCTGGGACGAGACTTTCGGGGTCGAGTCCCAGCTCCGCCTCTGCCTGGCTGTGTGACCCCAGACAGGTTGCTCGCCTCCTCTGTGCCTCCGCGTCTTCAGCACCAGCCCCATTCGTAGGGTCGCTGTGAAAAGCCACAGACAAGCTGAGATACGTAAAGCACCGACTGAGTCAGACGGCACCGCTTTAAGATAAATCCTGTCCCTCTCGCCCCTTGGAAGGGAGCCGTGCGGCCCGTAGAGCTGTGCGGTGCCCCTGGCGGAAGGTGCCTCTGTTCTCTGGTGGGCGATGCGTCCGTTACGGCCCCAGAGCAGGGCGCCACCTCCCCACGCGAGGGCCCTGGCCCACCGAGGAGCGCCGTCCTGTCTTTGCCCGTCAGCAACACTTCGTGGTGGGCTTCTCGGGAGCTGTGGGGGCCCCTGTTGCTGTCAGGGATGGAGGGAGCCGCAGCCCGGCGCCCCCCGCGCCCTCACCGACACCCCCTGGAAACTTGCACTCGGAAAGTCCGGGCCAACCAGACGAGGAGGTGCCGGGGCACTTACAAGTCTGACAAATGGGCCCGCTGCAAAAGGGGCGTTTTCCAAACCCGA